AAAGTATTAGCACTAAAAAGTTTATAATAATACTAAATGTACAATAATACTAATATAATCAAATCTCGAAAATAATGTATAATAATACTAATATAATCAAATCTCGAAAATCTAACTTATGTAACCTAACCTACCAAACCTCTAACAAAATTAACAATTTTTGGAGTCGGTGTCAAGCCAAGTATCTCTGATTTGGGCACAAAATCATTCTCTTAACTTTGTTACATATTTAGGTGGATTAGATACCTACATAATTAAATACATATAAATATCTTTTAACCTATTTATTACATAACCGCAGTATTAATCGTTACTTAGCTTCTTTCTATTTTTTAGCGAGGTGTTACACGCTGTTGTTGTTGTTAAGGCTTCATACCTATTTTATATTTTTATTTATAATTATAAATAGATAAAAATATATATAATACATAAAAATATATTTATATCTTTTTTCTCAACCAGATAAAAAAATTTGTCAAGTCGAAAACACCCAGCGCTTATGAAATTAATTTCAATATCACCTAACTTTACTACGATAATTCGAACGAGAACAAAGAAAGTAGATAAAATGCGCTGAGATTTTTGTCGGTGACAATCAGCCGTTTAGTTAAGTGGTTAAAGTGTCTGGGTGCGATTCCGGAAGTTGCGGGTTTGATTCAAGGGCGGATCCAGCTTTGGTGCCAGGGGGGGGTCACATAGTCGTGTTCAAGGGATAAGAAGTTTTAATTTAATTTTTATAATCATAGATACAAATAAAAGGTAGATATTTTTAACCGACTTCAAAAAGGAGGTTTTCAATTCGGATGTTTACATTTTTTTTATGTATATTCGGGCATAACTTCGTCGTATATAGACGGATTTGCAAAATTATTTTTTTGTTCGAAAGGATTTCATTCCGAAATGGCCCCATATAAATTTCATATAGATCTGATGATAATTTTCGGAGATAGCAACGGAACTCTTCGAAATCTGACAGGAAATCAACCGTGTTTGCTTCTATCGCATAAATATGCATTGTTTGGCATGTAGCGTTGTAATACTTACGTACATAATTTTATTTTAAGTCGGTTCTTTTATTGTTTATTATATTAATACGTTAAAAAACCGACTTCAAAAACTAAAAGGTACAAAATAACTTAATAAAGTACTTGTACAAGTATTTGTATGTGCTACTTATTGATAGGTTTGAAGTCGTAATTTGTTAATATTAAAGGTATTAGGTTTGCATGAGAGGTGTATTAAATTGAATCGTTATTAAGTTATTTTATAACTTTTAGTTTTTGAAGTCGGTTTTTTTAAATGTAGTTTTTTTTATTTTTAGTGACTGTAATCGGTTATTCTATAAACTAGAGTAGGATTTTTCTAGATTACATCAGGTAAACTATAACATTTTGTTGCTTTTTATTGTCATTATATAAAATAGTATTTTTTAAGTAGCTATTGGTAGGCTTACTTATTTTTGAAATTTCTTTTTATTTATTTCCTCGTTACCAGATTTTATGTAGTCTTATTGGTTATAATATTTTTCAATTTCACGCTGGCTCCACTTCAGTGACAAGTAGCCTAAGACCACTTGTCGGGACAGGGGTTAATGATAAACCCAAATGAAAACTTCTAAAATAGCCGTACACAAACTAAAATTATATCTCTCACGTAAAAAAAAAATAAATATAAAATTCATAAAATAACAAAAAAATATTTATTCAATCATTAATTCATTCATTTATAATATTCAGCGCTCATCTATATAATCTAACTAATCAAAGACAGAATCCACATTCATAACAAACGGAACGAACAAACTTTATTTCCCAAAGATGGGGTCGCATACTCACGTCCACTAAACCACCACCGCTCACCACCCATCAAAAACGGTCTACCCATTAAGACGAATAAAACTCGACGCAGTTGTGTTCCTTAATTAGTGAGTTCCTATGACCACATTCCAGCTCTGTCATCAGGCCCTGGTTACCATCTAACACAAAAAAACTCGTCAGTTTCTTTACTAAGTTCATATGACCACCTTCCAGACCATCATCAGGTCAGACCCTGGTAACTATCTAAAACTAAATTACTCGCAAAGACAAATCAAACGAGCCGAAACTCGATTGGATTGAGTCGTCTCATTCTGCCAGCTGGAAGGTGGCCATAGGAACCTCACAGAATAGCCTCATAGACCTCACAGAAGACCGTCGTAAAGTACTTCTGCGTATTGTTTGGCGAGTGAGGTAGCCGGGGCCCACTTTATTATAAGGGAGAAACGCATCTGCAACCCTATGCATATGTCCATGGACGGCTGAAGATGGAGCTCCATCATCCGATCCTGGTTACCAATGGAAGACGAACTACTCGTCAATACGATTCAAATGTGCCCAAACGCGATGAGGCTCTGTCGTTTCATTGCGAAGTTCCTTTGGCCACCTTCCAGCTCCATCATCAGATCAGCACCATGTCATAATAATATTGCATTGTCTTGCGATTTACACATGTATACAAAATTTCAGCTCAACCAGTACCCGGGAAGTTAAATTTAATTTGCAAGATTTGATGACAAACATTAAAATATTGTAAAAATGTGCATAAAATGAAAACTACTTGGCCAAACTATGTTAATAATTTTTATGGGACCAAATGGCAACTATTCTGCATCAAACAAAAGAAGAATCACGTAAATCGGATCATAAATCTCAACGTAATCGGTGTACATATATCGAAAAAAAAAAAAACATACCAATCGAATTGAGAAACTCCTCCTTTTGAAGTCGGTTAAAAATATTATATTAAATTAATTCAATATTGAAGGTACACTACAAAGTAAAAACATTATGTTGAACAATTTTAATTAGTGGTCCACTTAGGTCCTGGCCCCAGCCCAGGGGGGGGGGGGTCATGACCCCCATGACCCCCCCCCCCTGGATCCGCCCTTGGTTTGATTCCCATAGCGGCGAAAAACTTTTAGTCATTTTTCCTACAAATTTAATTGTTTCATCTTAAGAGGTTAGCGCTATTAAAACTTGAGATACAATTTTTGAGAGGTTTTGAAGTAAATTCTTAAGAGTGAGAAAATATGGTGGATGTTTTTGCGTATTTAAAATGTATAAATCTGTCGATATATATAAGTTTGCGTGCAAACTGAATTATTTGTGGGCATAATTTTAGGCCGTAGCCCAATAGAGAGCGTGGGCGTGGGCAAGGCATGCGGCACGCGCCAATGCCGGAAGGGCCACTTGAGGCCGCTCCTAGCCGCTGTCGTCTGCTCATTACCCAGTTCTCCGCCAGAAGGTGAGTGCCATAGTTATGTTTCATCAGCTTAAATATATTTCGTCAATCATTAATTCAATTTCTTGTCTATTAGGGATAAACAATAATCGCAACCGACATCATCATCGCTTGTCAGACACCATAGCTATCTAGTTTAGCCTTGACCCATTCTTGACGTCACGAACAGAACCAGCATTTAAGCTCACGCGAAGGGTTAATTTATGGTTCCCGCAAACGGTGTTCCCAAAATACGTAAAATATGGTCTGCACCTTTTCTAAAATATTGTCCAATTATAAATATTGGTGTATACTTTTTGTCTTATTCATTGTGATTCAATTTGAACAAAATATTGACCCGAAATGTCTACTGGCATTGAATTTTTAGGCATATTTCCTTATATAATCACTATCATGCGTGGAAACACTGACAAGTTCAAAACTCAAAAATACTGTTTTGAAATAATTGTTGCTAGAACTAAAAGACACTTATAACTAGAACTGACTAGAATCTAAATATTCACGGAAGATATTAAATAGTGTGAAAAGTGACAATAAGGCGTTTGAAGCTCAGGTGAAGCCATCGTCGGACGGCTGTCACATTGAATAGGAATTCAGCTCTGATTTTCGGTTCGTCTGGAATTGCAATAGAGAATTGCGTTTCCGTCAAATGTGGAAACGAGTGGAATCGGGCCACAGCTTGACACTTGACCCGTTATCAGTCGCCGCCGAAGCGCTGGCCGGCCGCACACCGCGTGGGCACCCCGACGAGCGACGTCTCACATATTCGGTGAGTTAAATTAATTTATTGCATCGCTATTACCCATTAAAAATAATTACAATTACCCCTTCGTTTTCATACGTACATTGCAAAAAATTTAATTCGTAATTATATTGTGTTGCCAATTAGTGAGGTGAAAGTCATTACGCTTCTACTACGAGAAACTTGAAATGACTAAAACCCGCCATCTATCGTAGCACTGGGCTACGTGGATCTCTGCGCCCCTACCCTGGTTCCCCTAGCCACTTTCGGTTCCTATCTTAACATATATTTAGGAATACTCTCAGAAATAGCATAATAGGCCGTACTTTATGATTTGGCGTAAATTTCTTGTAGATCAGAAGAAGCAGAGGTTAATAAAACATTTTCTAGTTCTGCTTTTAAATGTTTGCCTGTAATTGGACTTCTAGAATTAGCAAAAATCATGTTTGGTCTTCAAAGTCTGTAACGGGATTTTATACTAAACAACTATGTAATCGGATATGAAGTCTTTGAATTCACCTTCATATAAATAAATTTTAGTTTACGTACAATTATCATTAACAAATACTATATCGGTTAAAAGGCGCCTGCATCGTCCAGAAAGTAATTGTTATAACACACGGCTGTCAGCAGAGAGGCATGACGTAAACGAGTTTAATTATAATTACAAGACAAAACATTGCTCCGAATAGACGACATCCGGCCTTGGCGACAAGAAAACGAACACACGGGCGCCGAACTTATTCTGACACGGGACGCTTGAACGGAACACTGGCAATGTAATTATGAGATTTAATATTAAGTAAACTACATCTGTTTTGCCATTTCACTATATTCCGGAACACTGACTTTTCAGGGCGTCGGATATAAATAGTCGGTATGATAAGAACTTTAAAGCAGTAACATAACATTAATGACAACATTACTATTTAGTATTATAATGTGATTTTTGTATGTTTTAGCATGAACAGCTGAAAGGATGCTGGCGTGGTGTTTGGTAGTGGCGCTGGTGGGCGCCGCGCTGGGCTGCGAGCTCAAACCGGGCGAGGGGGCGACCAACAAATCTCCCGGCGACAACTTTTACCGGTTGATACTTAACGGCGAGGTGGAGCGGTACGCTCCCGGGAAGCGTTACGTTGGTATGAACTGTTTGAGATGCGGTTTTACTACGACATTTTTAAAGCCTATTGCATGTCGTGATGATGCAATGGAACAATTTCTCTACTAGTATCTCAAACGCTCCTAATGTTACATTTAAGTGAATATTTGTAAGGGCTTTGGCGAAGATTTTAGAAACTATGTTTTTTCCGACAATATAAATTACACTTTAAATGTAAACGGCTTATATAACTCAATATGCTATTAACGAATACAGAAATATATATATGGTTCAGCAGCGGTTGACCGCCAGTGATACATCGCCGATAAGGTCGTTCATTGTCAGTTACTGGGAAATGATAAACATGCCCCCGATACAACTGGTGATATTCACTACATTTTCTTATTTATTTGGTTAACGCACTTAAATTGTTATGAATTCGCAAAAGTTAGAAGAAGTTTAAATTTAATTAATGACCCACGAATAACACGGCGTAGTTTGTTTAATACAAATTATTCAGCGAACTCTGCTACTCGTACTCGTATGCGTTACGAGGGATGGCGAGTCATCATAAATCAGTCTTACTTATGGTGGTTGATTGGCTTTTGCAAATGATAATATTTAAACATTACTTAGTAAATCTATTTAAATAATTATTAAACTTAGCAAAGAGACTCGGAACAATTTATTTTAACCACAAACTACACCTTTACACGTCTTCAGTCGTAAAAGTCAGGCGTTTTGTTAAAGATCTCATTTTTCGATCCCGGTCAATTTTTTAATCTTCATCAGAATAGTCAATGAACACAAAATTTTATTACTTTGTAAATACGCTTAAGTTGTAAAAGTCGACGCGGCAATAAATAGTCAAAAACGAGTTAAAAAGTATGGCCCTTCGATGAAGTCGTTGAAATTCCTTTCCAGTAACCCTCGTGGGATCACGTACGCACGATGTCGTGCAACAATTCACAAGGTTCAAGCTTGTCCTGGACCCGTTGGATCCCGCCGCTCCCAGGTCCATCAGCAAACAGGGTCAATTCCAACTGTTCGCCGACACACTGACAAAGTTTGACGAGGAGTGCTTTAATTCGGTAGTGGAAGCCGATGACTTGCCGAAGACCGAGGTGCAGGTCATGTGGAAAGCGCCACAAACGGGTTCGGGATGTGTTCTTCTGAAGTGAGTAGCTTACATTAAAATAATATGTATAATATTCAGGTGTGATTCAATCAGAACTACATCTGACTTGCGAATTAAAAGGAAATATTGTAAGAAATGTTAAATAAAGAATCTTGAGCGGTTTGGGCATATAAAAAGGACAAACGAAGAAAGAACGATTAAGAAAAGTTATGTCGCATGAGTGAATGGCAATTTCCGAGTTTTAGTTCGACGATAATAAATAGATAAATAATATATCCGTAAGAGGCGAAAAGCTCGATATATGAAGTCTGCCAATCAGCGGCTAGTTCGCGTGGTGGATTATGCCCTAATAACCTCTGTCTCTGTACAGAGGTTAGTAGGGTAGAGACCTTTGCCCAGCAGTGGGATATAAATGGGCCATACTTTATCACTATTACCAGCACGATACATATTGTCAATGGCCGACCCCCACCTAGGTCATGGTTCTCCCTGGTTAAGTTGGGGTCGGCACCGGATAGGTGAAAGGGCCAAAAATAATATCTTGGCAACTCGGCAGGTTTCATGTTTATCTAAAGCAAGGGCTCTTCAAACAGAAGTAAATGGCTGGTTCTTATTTTGTCTAAACTGTCTAGGATATAGGTAATGGGAAATATTGTTCTGTGCAGAGCCATGGTATATGAGAACGCGAGCCTTTGGTACTCTGAGGACGGTCAGCTGACGAAACGTGTTTGCGAGGACACCTCACTTTCGGTGCCAGATTGCTGCGCCTGCGACGACGCCAAGTACAAGGTATTTAAGTCAACTGTATACTACCATCATTTGTATGACCATTAAGTATGATTAGAAGATGGTAATGTGTTAGGTGGGGCAGAACCCCAGCTGGCGAAAAAACCTTTCATTTAACGTCTAAAATTCATATGAAGAAAAAGCTTTTGAATGAAGAAGTACAATATTCATAAAGTTTTGTATTTTCATTTTTTAAACATGTTAGGTATTTTAGTGAATTCCTTATCTCCGATTCCTTATACGCACACGACCACGTAAAATTTATGGTAACATGCCATGTCCGCGCGGTTCCATTAATCCTTAATTGTTAAGAATTTTGCGAAACAAGGAGGGAGCTAAAAGTTCATCTGCGAGTCGAAGTACCCAAAGAGTTTGTTAGTGAAGCGTCGACCGTTCGCTGCAGATGGTGTTCGAGGGCCTGTGGTCGCCGCAGACGCATCCCAAGGACTTCCCGGTGCAGGCCGCGTGGCTCACCCACTTCTCCGACGTCATCGGCGCCACCCACCCCAAGAACTTCTCCTTCTGGGGCGAGGGGCTCATCGCATCCGACGGCTTCAGGTTCAATTCTTTAATCGCCATACTCATATTGTCGAGGGCTTGCTGACATTCGTAAAGTAATCTTGGAAATTGGTAGAGCAAAGCAATACTTTCTTCATCTGACAATCGCCGCAGTAACACGAAAGAGGGGCGCGAAGTCGAAACATCAAAATGTTTATTACGCTACCATAAAATACCATAAAATACCATAAAATCTTAGGTTGGTCTAAGTTTTCTTTAGGTAAAATTATGTAATGATTGGGCGCGAGACCAGAACACCTTCTTATTCTAATATTATAACTTAAAAATTGTCACATTGTTTAAAATATTTCACCTAACAGTGTTAAACATTGACAAAATACATGTCTAACTAGCGACCCGCCTCGACTTCGCACGGGTGTAATGTATTATATATATAAACTTTCTTCTTGAATCACTCTATCTAGAAAAAAAAACCTCCATCAAAATCTTAAGATCTTCGCATACATAGGGACAGACAGCGGGGCGACTTTGTTCTATACTAAGTTATACTTTTATAATTTTAGAATGTTAAGATGACTTTGTGTAGTATTTTGGTAATCATTTTGAGTTGGATTATAACACAATAAACTTTTAAAATAAGCAATACGTTAATCATGTTTATGAATATAAGAATATTCGTTTCCTTTTTAATGTCTAATTAATGATTATATTTAATGTTTTAGTTCTCTTACAATAAAAAATAATAGTATTAAAAAAATTCTAATAAGCAAACCTACAGTCGTTATTCGTCTCTTCCTTTCCTACGTCCATGCGAGATGGCTACTTTATTCTTATTATTATTTAAAGGTCCCTGGCGGAGTGGGGCTCGGTGGGGCTGCTGGAGCGCGAGCTGAGGCAGCAGGGGCGGCTGCTCCGCTCCATCGTGAAGGCGCAGGGGCTCTGGCACCCGAGAGTCAACTCCAACACGTCGACGGTCTTCTCCGTGGACAGGAGGCGCCACTACCTCTCCCTCGCTTCTATGTTCGGCACGTATACTTCATCACTACTTAACTTCGTTCCTCCAACTTGTTTTTGAAAACTAAACCAAGTTTTTAAAGAGTTTAAATATATGCTAATTGACGTTAGTAGAGACAATAACTAGTAAATGGCATTAAAAGCGTCAATTTAATCTTTTAGCATCATTTTTCGAGCGTAGTATATATCTATGAACTAGGCATACCCTTGAATATAATCGTCTAAAATATTTTTTGTTTCCAATTTAAATGTATCGATTGTATCAAAAATAATAGTGATTTAATTTACCGCATGTCATAGGTAAGAAATATTTCAAGATGGTTTGTTATGATTAGCGGCGTAATTAACTCTATAATTGTATAGTATACTAGCGGCCCGCCCCGGCTTTACACGGATATTTAACAACATTTTTAAAACATAAAAATTATCATACACACACATAAAACCTTCCGAATATTTCGTCTTTGGGGAATAATTTTATGAATTTGTTGATCTTTTAATGAAATACCCTTGAAATTACGTCACGTAAAAGTGACAAATAAGTCTGGTCTCCCATAGCTTCGGACATAAATCATCGCATCTTTGGTTTTTTTGTTGACCGATGTCTGATGATCCGATGTTTGATGAGCCAATGTCTTGATTTAAAGCGTCTGTAAGATGAATGTTTCACCAGCCCTCAGTCTCTGGTGATTACGACATCATATGTAATTCAATCTTTATGATATCTTTTTGCCATCATATCGACAATGTATTGAATAAAAACCGGCCAAGTGCGAGTTGGACTCGCACACGAAGGTTTCGGTACCGACCTCGCAGAAGACCGGCGTAAAATAGAAGTGTTATACCTACTTCTACGTTTTGTCTGATGAGAGATACCTCCCGGCTACCGCCGGGGCCCACTTTATTTAAAGATGGCAGCTCATTTGTAACCCTACAGGTGTTACAATTATTGTTCATGGGCGGCGGTTATTATTTAACATCAGGTGAAGCGCCAGCTCGTTTGCCACATTAAAAAAACTCTATCACATTAAAAAAAAAATCATGTTTTATTATCTTTATTCAATATAGAAGTATTACACTTACATATTGTCAAAAACACTACTACTGTCAACATTATCTATAAAAACGCCAAAAAAATCATGTCTGTTTTATGGGAGCCCCACTTATTTATATTTTTTTGTTTTTTAGTATTTTTTGTTATAGCGGCAACAGAAATTCATCGTTTGTGAAAATTTCAACGGTTTAATTGGCATTATTACTGGGACTTATTAGGGTTCCGTACCCAAAGGGTAAAACGGGACCCTATTACTAAGACTCCGCTGTCTGTTTGTCCCTCTGTCAACAGGCTGTATCTCATGAACCGTGAATAGTTACACAGTTGATCTTTTCATAGAGGTTAATATACTCACTGTTGCTTGTCAATACATTTATTGTAATGTTTTGTATATACGTCATAACCTTAATTATTACCTAAAGAATAGTGACAGACATAAAATAAACACTAGAAATAAGGACAAACTTACTACGCCATTGTTTCGTCTACAAAAAGTAAATAAGTCGTTCATAGGGCAAAGTGTGCGCATGTATAATAAAATCCCTCAGTCGATATTAAGTCTGCCGCTTGACCAATTTAAATGTAAAATTAAAAATCAACTGATGATTAAAGCATACTATACCATTTCGGAATATCTCGACGACGCCAATGTGTGGAGTTAATACTGTTGATACTCACGTAGGCTAGAATAAGACTATTATACCTGTATATTATATTGTACCCTGATATTTTTGAAAAAAGAGCAACTGTTGAGTTTCTTGTCGGTCTCTTCTCAACAGAAACCGCTTTCCGAACCGGTGGTACCTTACGAACTTATACACATAATCTTTGATGTAAAATTTGACGATTCATAAGAGCGCGCAAGCGTCTATTTGAATAAATATATTTTTGATTTTGATTTTGTTGAAATTTGATCTGGGTATTTGTTTCCCAAGGAGGGTAGACGTCAAGCAGGCGGCTGGTTGTAAAAATATAGCCAAAAGCGCTTACAACATGATTCATGTTGTGCCGACCCCACCTAGGTGGGATAGGGGCAGGAGGATGATGATAACTTGTATACTTGTCCCTCTGTTTTAAAAGTTCGCGTCAAACGAAGTCATTTGAAAGAGGCTATTGTACATTCGGATGTTGGTTAAAAATGTCCTGATGGTAAATGATTATTTCTAAAAAGATTTTTTATTGGTTGTGGCGGCTCCTCAATATTGGATAGACTACCTTTTCTAGAAGCACAGCACATACCATTTGGTTCATCGATCCCATTTTTGGCAGAACACTTAGAGCAGATCTTATTCGTGGCTACGATTTGGACAGAAGACTGTTGAGCAAAATACATGAAAGCTGATCTGTTACTGTGAGCTAAAACTCGATTACGAACGCTAGTCGTTGACGTTTGTTATCTTTCTCTCTAATTTCGTGTATTTTGGGAACGCTCAGACCTCGATTCCCTGGTGTGAATTTGTATATTTATATTATTATACTCTTCAAGCCACTGCAAACACTCTACTTGACTCTCTCCGACTTGTAGGACGATTTTCAGTTTCCGGTAAAGATTCCTCATTATGACGTATTTTTAATGTCCTCGCCTGGGAACTATTTCTAGAAAGATGAGATCTCGATCTTTTGGGCATTTTAAAATGATAAAAAAAATTAACTTCCTTAGTATTTCATAATTTGCTAACTGTTGAACAGGAATTACCAGTATAAATGTGATTGAAAACTTATAAGAACTACTAAGTCAGTCACTAAGCTGTTTGGATAGTTAAATTACAATATACTAACATTTTTAAACTTGCAATATCTAAGGAATGGATTATCCGAATTTAATAATTTAAAAAGTCTTAAATATGAAGTAATTTATTTTTATAAGGATTAATACCAAGATACAAATAAACAGCCTTTGTTAGCGGCGGCATTTCAATCAAAATTTTAAAATAAAAGAACACTTATTGTGGCATAACTATAATAGTTAGACATATGCTGTCGCGACACTTTTTGTAAATAATGATGTGGTCTGCAAAGTCGTAGTACATTATTTTATTCTATCATCAATAGTTTTCGCAGCGAACGCGATGTAAAGAATATTCTAGGTAATTTTTGTACATCTTGAGTAACATTATTGGAGTTTTAGTAAGGATTCCTAATTTTTTTGAAAATATAATATAGCCTATGTCAAGCAGGGATAATGTAGCTTCTCAACAGTGAAAGAATTTTTCAAATCGGTTTAGTAGTTTTGGAGCCTATTCAATACATACAAACAATCAAATCTTTCCTCTTTATATAATAGTATAGATTAACTAGTTTTAGTTAATTAACTAGTGATTGTAACTTTATTGAGCGATGTGAATAATTTTAATGACTCTGCACCACAGTTTCCAAGACATTGATTCGGCGACGGAAGTATTGGGTTCGATTTTCATACGGGACAACTATTTGTGTGACCGACAGATAAAAAGTATTATTCTACAGTAAGGGCAATATTTAAACAAAATAATGAGATAATAATAGGTGAATATGGTAACATAGGTCCATCCCCCGACTGGGTGGTGGGCGTGAGCGGCCTGGAGCTCTGCAACAAGGACTGTAGCTGGGTGGAGTCGAAGACCATCGACCTGTTTCCCTATGACGCCGGCACCGACAGCGGCATCTCCTACATGGTACGTCGGCACATTTATATTCCATTGAATTTAGGAAACCAAAAGTAAAACTAGTTCGATGTGATCAGGAAAATACAATAAATCTATTTTCTAGGCCTTTTTATATGATTTCAATAGTATCTTTTGTCCAGGAACACTGTTAAAGCAATTTTGCAACAATGATTCGATGAGATTGTTTCATCAATATAATAACTCTGTTTGGGGTTTGTAACAGTCGACCGTTACAAAGTGACGAACGGGCGTTATCTGTAATAACGAATAATCGATACCTCCTTGACGCAGTTGCGAAGGTATTAAGGACCAACAGATAGTAATTTCTCGTCCGAGCGTTTGCCCGCGTGAGATGTCCTCCTCGCTCGCCCCCAGTCCCCGAACGCGGAGACGGTGCCCCGCGAGAGGATGTACCGCATCACCACCATGTACCCCGAAGACCCGCGGGCGCCCTTCTACGAGCCGCGCCGCCAGGAGATGGCGCCCATGGCACGGCTCTATCTGACGAGGGAGAAGCTGGTGCCGCGCGCCTGCGACGAGGACACGCTGCAGGCCCTCGTCACCGACGAGGCGGAGAACTCGCAGGCGGTCGACAGGCGTCAGTTGATTTTTACCGAGTTATATCTGCCCATTGACGTTGCAACACGTTTTTTTTATGCGAAAAGTTATCAGACGAGCAGACGGTTCACCTGATGCTAAGCGAATACCGCCGCCCATGGATGGACATCTGCCACACCCGAGGGTTACATATGCGTTGACAATCTTTTGAAACTTGGGCTCCGGCTACCTCACTCACCAGACGAAACGCGAAAGTATTTGTCATACTTCCACTTTACGCCGGTCTTTTGTGAGGTCGTGGTACTTCCCCGGACGGGCCTGCCCATTCGTCCAACAGCCGAGGCTGCTGCGTGGCCCTAAAAACGGTTTTTACGGTGGTACGGCATAGGGGGTGGTAGACGGTGGTACCACGTGGGGTTGACAATAAAGCGGACCCCGGCTATCTCGCCCACCAAACGAAATGCAGAAGTATACCACTTCGACTTCGCGCCGCGAGGTCGTGGTACTTCCCCGGACGGGCCTGCCCGTTCCTACCACTGGCAAAAGAAAAGTTTCTTATAAACGCTTCTAGTGTGCATGCTTATGATTCATATTAAAAAAAATTACATTGGCCGTCATTTGATAAATAATTGCATTAGGTATTTTAAATTAAATCCAATTTAAATTAGCATTTGATTAGTGACACTTAAACTGTGCAACCGAAGTAGGTGTTGGGGCTTATTCCTAGCACTGATAATACAATTTATTAGAAAACTTTATTGCGAAATTGATATACAACATATATACTTTAATGCGCATGACGCCAGCGGAGTGCGCGGTGGAGGAGTGGGGCTCGTGGAGCGCGTGCTCGGTGAGCTGCGGCAAGGGGCTGCGCATGCGGTCGCGCCGCTACCGGCTGCCGCAGCGGGCCGCCTCGGCCGCCTGCGACCGCCAGCTCGTCGCCAAGGAGATGTGCGTCGCCGATCTGCCAGAGTGCCCGTGAGTACCCACCGCGTGACAACGTGACAGCGCTAGTCCCCCAATGTCCCGCCCTATCACGCTCTCCACATACCGAGATTCCCAGAAGATTTGAATACTCTTTCTTTATATTTATATTTGCTACATCCAGGTCGACGTTACGTTCGTGTATTCGTTTTCAACTCTAGCTTTGTTGATGACGCATTTATACAAAATTTTAAAACTATTCAATTATATACATATTATTTTTTAAAATTGTCCATATTTGTTTCTTATCGGTATCCATAAATCTATGTAGTGTATCATAACTACTAATTTAAGCCTGCAGTACCTCACTCTGATTACTTGACGATCAGCTGATAACATCTGCGATCGATCGACAATCACACACTATTTTCTACGCAGTATAGTCTTACTCTTCACGAAATTTACCACTACACGCTTACAACTTCTCAAATAATTCATTAGCTTAACTTATAGCACATATGGATCTATGGTCATCTATTCCCGTGGGGTGTCCGGGAAAGAATAGCACCCACCCATTTCATCCCAAGGGTGTCGTAGGAGGCGACTAAGGGAAAAATCCGGAAGTTGGGCAGCAGCGGCTTCCGTGTACATAACATCTATAACTGCGATCCCCAAGACGCCTGCCAAGCGTGTTGATTAAGGCAATTTTTCTGAGAGCGGGTGGAAAACCGGTACTACAAGTCCTCCAGAAGTTGTTCAATTCCGTCATACTTCAAGGCACCACGCCAGAAGCATGGCACAGGAGTGTGGTGGTGCTTTTCTTCAAAAAGGGAGATAAGACCCTGTTGAAGAATTATAGGCCCATCTCGCTCCTGAGCCATGTATATAAGCTGTTTTCTAGAGTCATTACGAATCGTCTTGAACGCAGGTTTGATGACTTCCAGCCTCCCGAACAAGCCGGGTTCCGGAAAGGCTTTAGCACCATAGACCACATCCATACGCTCCGCCAGATTATACAGAAGAGCGAAGAGTATAATCGGCCATTGTGCTTAGCGTTTGTGGACTATGAAAAAGCCTTCGATTCAATCGAGACCTGGGCGGTATTGCAGTCCCTCCAGCGATGTCATATCGACTAAAGGTATATCGAAGTTCTGAAGTGTTTGTATAGAAACGCCACCATGTCCATCCGTCTACAGAATGAGAGCACGAAAGCAATCCAATTGCAGAGAGGCGTGAGACAGGGAGACGTCATTTCTCCGAAACTGTTCACGACCGCATTGGAGGATGCTTTTAAGCTCTTGAACTGGGACGGATTCGGCATCAATATCAACGGCGAATACATCACTCACCTTCGTTTGCCGACGATATAGTCATAATGGCAGAGTCGCTGGAGGACCTTAACACTATGCTCGTAACGTTTCCCAACAGGTGGGTCTTAAAATGAACATGAGCAAGACGAAAATCATGTCAAATGCCCATGTCGAACCCATACCAGTTATTGTTGGGAACGATACACTCGAAGTTGTCGACCACTATGTCTACCTTGGACAAACGGTCCAGTTAGGCAGGTCCAACTTCGACAAAGAGGTCACTCGAAGAATCCAACTCGGATGGGCAGCGTTCGGGAAGCTACGCGATATCTTTTCGTCCAAGATTCCACAGTGCCTAAAGACAAGGGTTTATAACCAGTGTGTGTTGCCAGCGATGACGTATGGCACTGAGACGTGGTCTCTAAAAATTGGCCTATTGGAGAAGCTCAGAGTCACACAACGAGCTATGGAGAGAGCTATGCTCGGAGTTTTTTTGCGCGACAAAATCCGGAATGAGGAAATTCGCCGAAGAACCGGAGTCACTGACATAGCTCTCCGGATCTGCAAGTTGAAGTGGCAGTGGGCAGGCCACATCGCTCGAAGAACTGATGGCCGATGGGGGGTAAAGGTTCTCGAGTGGCGACCACGAACCGGAAGACGTAGCGTTGGAAGGCCTCCCTCTAGGTGGACCGACGACATCATAAGAGTCGCGGGGAACCGGTGGATGCAAATGGCAAAGTGTCGTTCGTTGTGGCGTTCTAAGGGGGAGGCCTATGTTCAACAGTGGACGTCTTGCGGCTGATGATGATGATGATGGATCTGTAGCAAGCGTAACATACATCTTGCTATAGTTCTTTATACATCAAATCTAAAATTTAAGAAGAAACATTCTTTAAATCTCTTATAAATTATTTCAAGGATTACTTAATGGAGAAGATAAATTCATAGAAGAACAGTAACTTTACTGTGATACAATAAATGAAAATGTATTATGAGCATGGCAAGAATCAATTCACCAGATCTCAATTCTTATAGCGTAATAGTTTTCTGTTAGCCTTAAAATATGTTCTTAAAGTTAGTGATCACTGATAATCTATTCCGCTATTATCTTTTCACAATGTCTAATAACCTCATTATCGAAAACATTTCGACGAATGCCAAATAGTGACGACGGCGCAAACGAAGAGTTGGAAGAGACGAACGTGGCACCGATCGAGGAGTTGGACGGGGTCTGCAAGACGACCGAGTGGGGCCCCTGGAGCGAGTGCTCGGTCACCTGCGGCATCGGCATCAGCACCAGGAGGCGCTCCTTCCTCAACCACATGGGGCTCAAGAAGTGCCCCCTCGTGCCCACCGGTATGCCGCTCAAAGCCCTTCGATATTTCGATGACTTAATGAAATTAGGTTATTATGTAATTTTATAAGGTAATTTGAATGTGAAATAAAATAACAAACGCAGTATTGTTATTCAAGTTTCACCTAGCTTATTCAATTTTATATTAATGTTTCATAGTGTTAATCTCTGCATTTAAGATGACACATTAAAATTTGTAGAAAAAAATGTACGAAAAGTTTTGCCGCTGCGGGATTTAAACTCACTTTTTCCGGAGTTGAGTCCAGACTGATTGATACGCTGCGAAAATCTTAATGTTTTTCATGCGAAAAGATGGCAAGCGAGCTGGCGTTTAACAAATGTTAAAAAATAAGCGCCCGTGAGCATTCGCAACACCCGTAGATGCAGGTAGGTTGCAGATGCGTTGCCACCTTTTAATAAAGTTAGCCCCGGCTACCTCACTCATCAGACAAAATGCTGAAGTATAACACTTCCAATTCAGGCCGGTCTTCTGTGAGGTCGTGGTACTTACCCGGACAGACCTTCCCACGTGTGAAACGCAACAGCTTCGGCTGCCCTGCCACAGTATTTTTTAACGTTCACTCGCATTTTAAGCAACTTTCAAGTTTGAATGGTGAATGTGCCCATTGGTCGATCAATTCAATTGAATATCAGCCTATTGCCGTACACTGGTGAACGTTGCTGCCCCCCAAAGTGGGCCAACTAGCCCGGTCCAGTGCAACCTGCTTCCATCCACTGCACGCCACCTTTATGTCGTCTAAGATGTGTCGGCTCCAGCGACCGTCGGTACGTCTGGAGACACGGCCAAGCCGCTTCGAGAGCGCGCCAATTGTTGTATCGGCAGAGGAGAACCGCAAGTGCATGGAGCCGCAGTGCGCGGAGCCGGAGAGCGCCGTGTCGGACCCCGCCTGCCCCACCACCGAGTGGGCGGGCTGGTCGCCGTGCTCGGCCTCGTGCGGCCGCGGCGTCAGGTTCCGCACCAGGCTGCTGCTGGTGCCCGCCGAGCGCCAGCAGGACTGCTCCGCCAGGGTCGAGCTGCTGCAGCAGCGGCCCTGCCGGGAGCGCGAGGATTGCTCCGTAGACATGCCCACCGCTAAACGTAAGGCCCCCCTCACTTCCAATGGCGGCAACGACGCCCGTCCTAACAGTAAACTCTCCTTCATCGTCATCATCCTCCTGCCCTTATTCCACAAAGGTGGATAAACAATCATGTTGTGATCGCCTTTGGGTATATTTTTTACGGCTGGCGGCGTGACGTCAACCCTCCTTGGGAAACGAACAACCAGATCCGTACCAATATCTACCGGTCACACAAATAGTTGTCCCGTGTGGAAATCAAACCCACGGCCCCCGACGCCGCAGCCAATAGCTTGGCAACTGCGCCACCGAGTCATCGAGACAGTAAACTCTCTTTAAAGATTTGATGTTAATACTTCAAAATCATTTGACCTTGAATATATACATATTGTTCTGAGCATAAATACCTATTTAAAACCTTATAGGTGTCCTGGTAACGAAATTATAACAAAAAGTAGTAATGCCGTACTTTTATTTATAAAGACAAGCTTTTCTATAAGGAACAAAACAGCTTTTATCAGTTTCTTAGTGATAGACAATATTGACATTTGCTGACCATCACGCTACATTACGGACAAGGGCGCGCCAATGGCTGGACGAATGGCTTGGACGGTGCAAGGTGGTATTTAATTACACTTTCACCGTAATTAACTTTGTAGACATCACGCGTCAGCCATTCAACGTCAGCGGTCAATAATTGATAAGGTCACTACGTGGTAGCTAGACAATGATATTATATACAAATATGAGGTAGACATGACACTAGCGCACCGAAACTGAGGCGCTCGAATTACGCCAATTGGTGTAATTAGATTGCAATTCTGTAGACTGCTTTCCGTATCATACTCTCACAATCATTTATATAATTGTCATATTCAAAGAGAATGTAATCACTACGTTTATTGTGGTCATATTATGTAAAGCGGAACAATTTGGCGTTTATACGCCACGCAGTATGGACATGCGTCATCTATATTATTAACCATTATTGTAGCTCGATACAATTATTTAAAAATGTAATTCAAAAAGTTTAAAATGTGTAAAATTTGTGTTGCAAATTGAAAAATTGGTAATTTAAAAAAGTTAGATAATTTTAAAAAATCTTGACTTTTATTTTTAAATTTAGCATAGCGAAGAGTCGATGAAAAAATGTAACAATTAGACTAGTTTGGTATAAACCACATATTTATGCTCGAAGCGAGCACAATATGGAAAGTTGGGAAATGAATTGTGGGTTCAGGCATCTGCATGGAGGCGCCGGAGCAGGGTCCCTGCCGGGGCCTGTACCAGCGCTGGGCGTTCGTGGCCATGAAGGGCATGTGCGTGCCCTTCAACTACGGCGGCTGCAGAGGCAACCAGAACAACTTCCTCACGCAGCAGGACTGCATGGACACCTGCAAGGTCGTGCTCGGTACGTACCCCCACTCCGATAGCCCGATTGGGCTATTCCGCGGAATATGCAATAGCTATAAACCCATTATATTATGTCAACACCTCATTGGACAATAGGTCAATACAAAATTCTAATTGATAACCTTGAACATTGTGTGACTAAATTAGTGGAAAATAGGAAAGTTTTTAGGAAAATTAACGCCTTAGCCACTAAGCTACTGCATTGCGAACCTTTGTGGTTAAAAGTCTGGACGCGGTTGTGTAAGACGCGAGTTCAAATCAGACGAAAAGCTTTCCGTTCATTTTTCTTTAAATTTTCATGTTTAAGTGTACTTAAGTGTAGAGATAAAATTAGGAATATAAAAACTTGATACAAAGTTTTCAAAAATGTCATAAAATATTATAGTGGTAATAATGAATTAAAATAACTACACCCCGAAAAATACCTTCAACATTTTATGGACATATGGAATGTTCATAATATAGTGTGATTATGTTGTTAACTCGTCTATTAAACATGACTTATCGCTTTTGCCACCGGACACCGTAGGCGGCGCTTTGCGACTCATGTCCGGAAAACGAGCGCACCGGCGTAGGTATTACTTATCGGTGCTAAAATGATTGGAACATCGAAATATATTATGCTAAAGTTAAATTTAAAAGCTAGGAATTTTTGTGTGAATTACGAGTAAATGATTCATCCACAGTACTGATATAGCTGTCTCGACCGTTCATTACTTACCTACTCATGGCGTTCACTACCTAATCTATTTTCATAACTTTGAATAACGAAGAATTTCGAAATAATCTTAAATGGTAAAACGTAATTTCGTAGATTTGAACACGAGGAAATTCCATAACCGACGAAAATGTATCCGTAATTAATGGAAGAGAAACAGGCGGAGATCTATTAATTTTGCGCAAAATGAATATTCGTACACGTAAAGTGTTATTATTTACATATGTAAGTATGTCCCCGGTACTTCTATATTGGAGTTTGAATGTTCAATTCCCGGTATATCGCTTTGAACTCGAAGCCGCGCGTGTTATTGTTTATGAATGCCGCCACGAAATACGTCCAATTATAAAGATAAACGTGACGTTAGGCCCTACAAAAAGCTTTTGGTAATTACAACATGTAAAATAGCCGGACGAGTTACGCAACGATGAATATAATATGCACCAAGTTTCAATTAACATTACCATATAAAGAATGATACCAATGATCTAATCACAACTTCTTATTAGGTTAGTCAAATCTTAAACTGTCTTGATGTGTAAATCCTATACAATTTTCGGTTTTGCTGTTAGCTATTAATTACCAAGCTTATACAGTATTGGTCTCATTAAAGTAAATGCAATGAACTTAAATATTTTTATGGTACACTCATATCAGTCCAATAATTCATGATTTTTCCAACAATATTTATAGATTTGTACTTTTAAAACTCCATCGTAAGTTATAAAACTCTTATGAAACTCATTTTAAAGTGAAAGTCAAAAGAAATTTGTGTGCAACAATTCTATTTTCTGACGTCACAAACCGTTTCCGCCTCGCGGTGCCACGGGTCAATACCAAACAACTGGAGGAATAGGAACAAAGCAGTTAAATGGCAATCAATCATGGCCGCTGGCTGGCCGCCAGCCCCCTTCAATGCGCGAGCTTCCTCCCGGCGCGAGCCCTCAAATGAACCACAAACTAACTACGCTTACAGACCAATTACAAATACAATATATCATACTCTCGATATTGTCAAGAGACATTTGTAAGACTAGGAAATATTTGTTCGCTTTTAAATCTGGCCAATTAGGGAACCGATGCCTTAGAATGTAATAAGTACTTGCTGCTTATTCAAGTCGAGTAATAATAACATTATACTTAATGGTGTCTCATATTCTGAAAGTTCGGTCATTTCAATGAATTCTTCTATTAAAAACCTGGATCATTAAAAGCTAATAATGGCACGCGACCGCTGTGTTATGATTCATAATGAAAATAAAAATATCTCATGAAATGGCTCTAAAGTGGGAATTTCCGACTGCGGACTATTATAGTTGCTGTTTATATCCATTATCTTTCCTTTAAATTGTATTTACGTTACATTCAATTGAACAAGCGAGCAATGATATGGACGTAATCCGTTTTACGAAGCAAGGTTAATCCTGGCTCACGTTATAAGCTCTTTAAGCTGTCACGAGGTTTTCAGTTTCTTAAAAACATAAATTTTCTGGTCCATACAGGGTGGCTTTTCTAAATGTATCCATTTTTTTATTAAATTCTAGACATAAATAATGTTATATAAAAAATGATAAATATTTAAAATCACTCGTAATTAATTAAGTACATTCATTTGAAGTTATCTCAAACAGTGCGTGATTTATGGGAAACTCATTTATTTTACGCGCGATCATTCATAACTAACACGCACACAAGTTCGTGCAATTTAGGTATTTATGAATGACTACCGCATTGTCAACATGTTCTGTTTTTTAGGGAATAGAATGGCATTCTTTTTTTTTATTTCAATAAACGATTATACCACCGAGTCTGAAACTCCTGTGTAAATTTGGGCACTTCTCAAAAAATCTCCCTGTATGGTTGTGTATTGTGCTTTGCTTTTAACTTATATTTTTTGCTAAGCATATTGTTTAACTGTCATTCTGAATCTATGAAAGACACTGCGATATGGGGTATCCCTCACAGCCTCTTAAGCCTCATTAGCTCAGTCTTCAAATATGATCTTCATAATCCCCATGAAACGGATTAGACGAAACAAGGTGACGTCACGCTGAGTCAAGTTGCTGGTCCCCAATGTGCGAGCACCGTCAATGATACAGCAAATTACTCATTACGCTGTTGCTTTATATCTCTTAAGCAGTGTATAGTTTGGCTATCAGCAAACTTTACTAGTATTCATTCACTGAAAGCTATTCTTCATATTACAAATTGAATTTTAATCGGTTCAGTGGATCTAGCGTAAATAGAGAAATATTATTGGCATTAGTAGGATACTGATAATATCTAGAATATCTAATAATTAACTGTGGATTATGCTGATTTTTGAAAAGACTCATAATATACACAAATGGTACTTGGACAAATAACTAGATCCGGAGAAATTATGATGTTGCATGCGAGAATATATAAGTCTGTGAATCTGTAATCCGGGTTGTTGGATTTATTCGCTCCACTTTCTGACTTCGGAACTTTGACTGTTTCCTACAAACACAAAGACTGTGAAACCTTAGGTTTTTATTATGTGCATGAAAGCCTTTAATGGTCCAACATCGGTGCTATTTTATTCATAAACTGTATGGGATTCCCCATGGCCTCGTTTATTTTAATGAAAATAAATATTATGAAAAATAAGTGTGTTTGTGCAACTGTGCCTGTGCCAGGCGCCGCTGGGCCCCCGAGCCAGTTCCCTACGGCGAGCAGCAACTACCCAGGTCTCAGCATCAGCTCTATTGTACCAGTGCCCGCCGTTCTCAGTGGTAACAGATTCATTTTCTTACATTAGTTTCCATAAACACATAGCACATTATATTAAACCTGTAAAAAATTCCTTTCCACACTTTTCATTTCGTCGTCATCACTATCATCTCAGCCTCTTAGAGTCCATTGCTGAACATTGGCCTCCCCCACCGAAAACTAATTCTGAAGATTAGTAAGCTGAAGTGGCGATGGGCGGGCCATATAGCTCGTAGAACGGATAAAACCGATGGGTAAGAAGAAGTTCTCGAGTGGCAGCCTCGTACTGGCCATCGTAGTGTAGGACTTTTCGTTTATACCGAACAATTCTTGAATAGTTTCTTTAAAGGTTAAAAGAGATAATTGAGTATGATTCAACACGTGTTCGGTGTAATATCTCGAACTCGTCTCTTGCTGGTGGTGGTGATGCCGGCGCTGCCGGTGTTGTGGGGGTGGGGGCCGGGGGGGAGCGCGCGTGCCGCCTGAGCGATTGGGGCGAGTGGAGCCGCTGCAGCGTCACCTGCGGCGTCGGCTACCAGGAGCGCACCAGGACTGTGCTCGTGAGTACCTTCTTCCTTCTTCTGACGGTGGGCGTTGACCACCGCTAAACTCCAGGATGGTTGCGAGTACAAATCTTTCCTCTCACCTCACACGCCAGAAAGCCGGAGGTTTAACCACTACCACTTTACGTCGACCCTCTGTTCTGTTATCCTGATCGAGCGTATCCATGCGGAAATCATTGTGTATTGACATTGTAAAAAAAACCGTGTGCAGTTTTGACTTGGACAAAAACCCGATATTTCAGCGAATCTCTCCATCGACTGTGTCGACTTATTTTACAACCGTTTTTTTTATAAGTAGGATCGCAGCTACGTCATTGTACCTAATCCTACACATTGTAAACTTCTGCCGTAACTAAAAAATCATACATTAAGAAGAAGAAACTTGAAAATATTAACTTAATTCATTATTCACTCGTCGCATTTATTGCAAGTCGCATGGAATGAATTATTGAATTATTTCAGCATCACTTTGAGTTCAGCTTTTTCGTTTAAATGTACTAAAATTCGAATGTTAGCTTTAAAAAAAACGGTTTTGTATATTGACTGTCTTTTTGATGGCAATGTTATAATTATATGTCCGAATAGAGAGCCAATTGGCACATATTATCAATAACGTTGCAAAAATTTGTTGTTATTTCGACGGATTACCATTTTACTCATGAAATAGATTTTCACGCGCATTCTATAATAAAAACGTCGATCGAATTGATTTACGCTACGTTCACTAGTTTACACATCATAGGCGTTTTCTTTTCCGGCGTGAGGCGTCATATGAGATTACTATAAGTTAAATACATTATAGTGATTGTTAATAGCACGAAGACCAAATATGCGAATAAAAATACAGGATTGATTTTTAATAGTGTACCCTAAGTTGAAGATTCTTCACGATATAAAATAAATACCTACCAAGGCTGAATTAACACTCTACCCGCGAATCAACTTTTGTTTTTTGTAACATTCCCTTTTGTGGAACCAATGGTATCGTATTGCTAGCCTTTTGTCTGCTCACACTGCATTAGCTATTTTATAAATAATTTTGAAGTTATAAAAACGAATTGGTTTGCAATTATACAAGACTTATGGTATGTAAAATAGCAAATTATATATCAAACTATTATCTATATCTTGATATAAAGAACTTTCTACACAGTGTTTAGAGATGTTGATTTGCGACTTGTGACCACAGTGATATTATTTGTAGCGAAAGTCCATAGTTTTTGTTTTTTTTTTTTTCACATTTATCAATTGCACAATAAAGTCGTCCGTCGATAGGGTCGAAGTCTGTTAGTTACGAATCATAAACTACCATTTAAGAATGAATTATTATATTAATTAAAATCAGCGATAACTATGGAGAACTATCACAAATACTGAGTGTATAATACAAATACTCTGACATCCGGAAATTAAAGTTTAATCCTACTTCTTTACTTACCGCAGACTGTATCAGCCTACAAGGGGAAAGCCTCTTAAATAGATTCACGTTAAACATTCCAATGCCATTGAACCCGCGCAGCCTTCCGAGTGTGTTGGTTCATTGAGGGCATCATTAATTCTCGCTGCATCTGTCGCGTTCAAGAGTAGGGCCAAGGCTGGAGCCATTCGATGGCCGCATCATTATCTAACTCTATTTATGGGACGCCTCGTGGCTCGTCAGCGTCATGGAGCAACTGAGACGCTGCTAAACATGCATTTGCGGATACCAAGCGAATCGAGCAAATAAAACTGAATAATTACAATCGGCGAATTGAGATCTAACACGGAATCTGTCGATTATGCACATTACTGCAAGCTTAATAACGCTTCATGGAGCTTTTGACAACCACTGAAGGTTATATTCGTACAGGCTCGTTCGGAAGCGAGCTCATCCAGCTATGTACCAGGGTTCCACAGGAGACCAGCCTGAAGTGGTTATGTTTACGGTTTCGCTTTCCGTTTCGAGGATACCAGCGACCACTGCTTCTAAATGTTGGCAACACTGCAACCTCATAGGTGTCATCTACCACACCATAGGCGGCGGTAAACACTCAATACCATGTGTGCCCTGTGTGTCTGCTCGCTTGCTAACTTTTCTCGTAAAAGCAAATGAAAATGCGTTTATGTTTATGGCAGGAGGGTCCGAGCGCCGGTGGCGCCCCCTGTCCCGCGAGGCTCACGCGCCGGCGGAGGTGTTCCAGGTTCTGCTAACTGCTTAACCCAAAATTGTACTCGGATTACCTACCTAGCAAATAGTTTAGTGTTAAGGGTTTAACACAATAATATCTATGGCTAATTTACGACTTTATGTTTAAAGTGTTATTAAAAGATCCTAACATTTTCAGTCATTGAATAAATATTTTTGCATTTACTTTGTTGCCGTTCATTATTTATATCAGTACAACCTAAAATCATCGCTTGGTCGAAGAGTGGGATAGTTCGGCGCGCTCCAGGTAGCGCAGAGGATCTCAGGAGAACTAAGGTCCTCTGTAAGTGTACTAGTAAGTAACTGCGTACATATAACATGTACAAACAATACGTTCAACAAAAAAGACCTTAAACTCAAACACTCAAGAAGTGTATTGAGTAATTAAGAGCGATGGCAGGCTGGCGGGCGTACATAATATAGGGCGAACATAACGCTCGGCGGACTTGCTTGCCAATTAAAATACAAGTCAACTATTAAGGCGACATCAACATCGTTCTCGTTCGTAAATATAAACTATAGCTTCATAGCACTTATAGTGAACGTATATATATGTATGCAGTTTATTCTTAAACACGTTTATAACTGTGCTATTATTATGATTACGTTGTTTTGTCTTCTCGAGAAGTTATTCTAAACCTTATTTTTGATTAAACTAGCGTTTAGTCGTTTTTGGTTTAATGTGTAAATAAGTGCAATGTCGTTATTCGGTATGAAGATCAGTGATAATAAAACTATTTTAGTATATAGACAGATCTCGTCTTTGAAATTTTGATGTGCACTTAAAAATAGTTGACATTCGAGAGAAAACGCCTATCTGAAAGTCAGACGTTGAGGATTTTAATAAAATTAGCCTCAAAATTGCTCGAGATTACATTATATGCGTTACGCTATGTGAACCCTGCATCAGTTTGTGAATGGCTCAAACCAGGAGACGATTTACTTCGTACCTAGGTTGCCTCCAGTTCCTACAGACAGTGGAAGAAACGCAAAGGTATGTATATAAATAGTATGGTACTGCCCCGATCAAGGCTGTCTATGTAGATGCCAGGCTGTTGTATGTGAGACTACATAAACCCTTACAATATCAAGCACTGGATTATCGCGGCATCAAGAGTTTGAAAGAGTTACGAGAAAATAGTTCTTAGAAAGATTGAAATATAATTTTTTGATCCGTTTTCAGATTCATCGGTTAAATTATTTCGCCTATTTTAGTTATTTATCTGTTATATATATATTTTGATAGTTTTTAGAAACTTTTACTAAGAATTATTGTATTGGTCAAAATCATGAGGCCAGTACGTTGTAGATAATTATTGCTTAAGCTTCCGTCTGTAGCGCATCTAAATGCTCTAGCGAAACTAATATCAATTTAAACCAAATAATAATAACTGTTGCCGTTACATTTGTGCACGAATTAATGTGCTAGTACTGAGTCAGGATTCTGGATCTAGTTTCGCCAAAACCCGGAAAAAAAAGTAACGGCCTATAAATGTCTCACTGCTGGGCAATGGCCTCCTATGTCAAGAGGGTATCAGGGCATAGTCCACCACGCGGCCCCACTGCGGATTGGCGGACTTCACATATCTTCGAATTTTTTTTTTATTATTTCGAAAACATGCAGGTTTCCTCTCAATGGTTTCCTTCGCCGCCGAGCACATGACAATATTGCATTAAAAATTTTTAAACCAATTTCATTGGTGTTGGCACCGGGGATAGAACTCAGGTTAACTGTTAAATTAAAGGCGAGCGTCCGGACACTGCGCTATCACGGTATAAAACCCATAAACACAAGTATAATAAAATTTAGTAAGGTTTGTATTTTTTATAATTTAATCGATTTCACAACACTCTTTCTCTAGATGCTTCTATAAAATTTTAATTTTAAGATCGCGGTTAAGAATTTCTTTTAATATTATAAAGCGACATATGTTGTCAAGCAACTAAAACAGAACTCTCGCTTGATTCTTAAATAATTTCAAAGTTCTATTTTATTTACCAATTATTATTTACTTCTATAGAAAATTCTATATAATTTTGTGGCCCGTAGAAACGTGACACGAACCCCCACGCACGATAATGCCTACGCCGAATAGGTTATCATTCGATAGTTCCACCAATTATCCCTCACCTTCAAAGCCTCGCGTATCGTCAGACACCAATGAGATTTTCAATACCAATTATATTAGAGAGCACGTGTAGAAATTTATTTCGAAAACGGTTGTTATTATGTTGTATTCTGTTGTATTCTGTCAACAAAACACGTCAATATACATGTTTTATAATTCACACACTGAACGATATAACAGCCCATAAAATATACTGTTATTGTCAATTAAAAGTTGTGGAATATTAAATCGGTAAACGTGGGAAAATTTCTACGGTTTTTATACAGAACATGTGCGCTGCGCTTCGTCACGTGCGATATTAGTGAGCAATATTAATAGTTTTAAGTCTACGAGCTATTTTATTAATGTACAAGCTAATCATGTCTGTTTTTAATAAAGGCATCAATGATTGGGGTTTTATTAACAACGTTGTTAGAGCTTTGTAATAACATACACGGCCTCGCTCCGTGGCAAACGGATATTTCACGGTTATGTAACATAGCATTTTGTTTAATAGTGGAAATACTCGTGACCAGCGGAAGCTTATAAATGCAGACATTGATGGATATTGAGGAATGGATCGTGCAAGATATAGCACATTAATCTCTGCCAATCACGTAAAAAAAATGTTAATTTACCTTTGCACAGACTAACGGACGTCTTCTTTTTCTACGTACAATTAGATTCCATTCTTTGTTGTAGATTCTATGTATGAGGCAGGACTAAAAAGAAAGAAACACGAGTGATACATTAACTATACCCTGGTAGGGCCAAGCAGCAGTACGGTAGCAGCTGGTAGTAGCAGGTCCTACCACGACCACATTGAAGAACGGCGTTAAGTGGAAGTGTCACACTTCTACACTTCTTCTGGTCAGCGAGGTAAACGGGTCATAATTTATTATAGGGTGGCAACGCAACTGCGTATGTTGAAAACGTCCATGGGCGGCGGTTATCACTTATCATCAGGTGAACCGCTGCCTTCTCACATAAAAAGAAGATATATTACGAATACGGCATACTGTCTCGAAATTAATTAAAATATTCTGGCATTCTTTTTAAATTTTCTAAGTATCTCGTAATATTCGTAATATTTCGTTAAATCAGCTTGGTGGTCGCCATAAGTGGGATAGACCGCTTCAAAGGCTTTTGTTTCGTTTTTGTTTCGAATAGAACAATTCGAGCGGAGGCCCGGCTTCAAGGAGAATGCTCTTCCGCATTTCGAGTTAAGTGTCGACCAGCACGAAAATTCAAACCGACGTTATTAAAGCTCAAGGTCGACTCACGCACGTTTTGGGCTAAACCTTACATAGTTATTCGAATAAAAAATAGTCATTTTAGGTTTAAACTGGATTGGTAACATTTATTTTCACGGAAGTGTGTGGCATTTTCAGCTTTTTATATTTTTTCTTACACCCTAAATTGATATAAAATCATTTAAAAATATTACAGAAGGCTTTTAGACTAGAGCTTTCATCCAAATACATCTTCCTTTAAAATGTAACTGTTCTTCATTTATCATTTGTATAACAGGTAAAAACCTTTTATTATATACTTGTCAAACAATGCATCTCATCAAAGCCTTGACATATTCAGCATTTTATTCAGACCCTCGTCGGCTCAGTCATAGAGTGAGTTACAAATCTCCAAGGGAACCTCGATACCACAACATTGTTTGTTGATTTCGTTGCCAATTGTTGCTCGCATAAGTGGTCGTAAAATCTGCACTCGACGTTTTATATAACCCATTTTAGAATGGCGATAAAAACATTTGTAGCGGTACTATCAATGTTCTGTGTACATTAAAACATTAGTAAAATAAAATAGGTTACGGTAGCGGTTCCTTAGGAATTTTCAAACCAGTTGTATTCAATTTTCATAGCCCCATCCATACATCTGTAATGTGGAACAAAAAGTCACAGATGAAACTATGATGTGTTCTTTTAATCTTTAATCATTTTAGAATTCGTATAAAACTTATGGTTACCGTATCATTTGCGCTCAATTAGGAAAGATGAGTTATAAATTAAATATGTCATATTTTTATAACGGGCCTCACATCTCATCTTATCAATGAGCAACGCGCTAACTCAAACGGGTTTCTGAAAAATACCATCGCTGGTCAGGTCTATGGGGGTTACCGTTTGTCTCTTCTTTTAATTTAATACGTGTCTTTTTCTATGTCGAGTTTATTAAATTATTATTATATTTTTTTTATTCAACCTTATTATTCTGTATTGTGTACGTCGCACAAAAATAATAGTGCACTTTTGTTATTTTAAACTGGTAAAATACATTTGATACCGAATATAGAATTAGCTGTGCACTTAAGCTATCATAACAAAAAAAGGCTGGGTTATGGCCCATGTAGCATTACGTCAGCCTTGTTCTTGCTCCTCCATTAAATGGAATGGTTTTGCTCTTGAACTGTGCTGCGTGTCTGTGACGTCACTGGCGACCGTGACATCATAAGCCGCATATCCCGAATATCGGGTGTGTACTCGGTGACGTCACGTCTAAGTTGCTACGTCTTCAATAGGTCTCGCCTAACGTGGGGTTCGGCTAAAAGGGTCAATATGTAGGTCGGAGATTTCACTGTCACGTTTTGGATAATTTGGAATTAGTAAACTGTATGAACATGGATTATTGAAGTACATACAATTAATGTACTGAACGTTTTTTGTCTATGGTCACCGCGAGTGCATTCGATTTCTTAAAGGTTTAATAAATTAAGGGAAATCGCACTTATTCCATTTTCCACGGGGTAATTCAACAATTTATTAAAGATGTTATATTTTTGATGAAAATATGCATAGAGCAACTAAGACATTCTAGACTGCGCATCAGGACTTTCTAAACACCCATACAAAGTTGTGAAAAAGTAAAAAAAAAAAAGT